GGGCCCAATTATTATCTGGAGTTTTTATGGGTGGTTTCGGGGCTTGTGGCTGATTTAAATGTCTGGTTGCTATCCACAATGAGTAATTGGAAGCTCTGTGGGCACTTAATGACTCCACATATTGCTGAAAAATTTCCTCTTGTGCAGATTTAAATGCTTTCCTCAGTTCCAGACTGGCCTTGTTTAGAGCAGCTTTATCCGTTGGGTGCCTAGTAGTGTGCCAAATACGATGTAGCCTTCGTTTTTCTTCAATTTGGGCCTTTAGGAAAGAGGTAGATAAATTGCCACCAGGCCTTTTGCTACAAATTTCAGGTGTGCATCCCCAGGCAGCCTCCTGTATCAGCCATGAGAAGTTTCTTGCTGCATCTTCAATATCGCGAGATGATTTTAGAGGAATTCTCAAATCTATATTATCATTTATGTGCTGCCTAAAACAGTTCCAGTCTGTTTTGAAGTTATGGAGTGTGAGGTTATTTTGTTTGGCTAACACGGTTGTTGATATAGTTAGTATTACTGGAGTGTGGTCAGAGGAACTGTCTAGATATGATTTTATGTCAATATAATTCGTGAATAGTCCCTTCACAACGAAAAAGTCAAGCAGGTCAGGTGTTTTAGGACGGTCAGTAGGCCAGTAAGTCGGTTCTCCTGTTGACACCGTTCTAATATTTAAACCATCCAAAGAATTTTTCAGTTCTCTGCCGCGAGTCGTTATGAGTCTAGATCCTCAATGGGTATGCTTTGCATTCCAGTCTCCCCCAGACACAAAACGGGATCCAAGAAGACGAAGATAGGTGGTAAATTTTTCTTCTGTTATTATGTGTTTGGGGGGGCAGTATGTTGCCGAGATTGTTAATTTACCCACTTTATCCAAGAAGGTAATAGTAGTAGCTTGGATGAAATCTGATCTGAAAGCTGGTTCCTGATAGTGTCTGACTGACTGCGGATCCTCCATGAGCGGTACCATCTGGGTGATTAGTAGAGTATGTTACAAATCCTGGAATATTAAATTGTCAGTAAGGTGTGTTTCTGAAATTAGTACAATGTCCAACTTGTAGTTGTCAATAAATATTTCGAGGTCGTGTTTACTAGAGGATAATCCATTTATATTCCATTTGGCGAGTCGCAAAAACATTAATTTTGCTACTATTACCCATGAGTCAGCTTATCTATCAGTTTTACTATAAGACTCATCATAGAGCTTATTTGTTGTAGGAGGGCTTCAATTTTTTCTGTTTGATCAGGAGATCTTCGACTGTCTTGTTGGGAGTCGATTGTTGTGGATGCATTCTTTTGGTAGCTTCTGCATAAGAGGATCGCAATTTGTTTCATGGTTCTGCGGGATCTTTGGTGATTAGTAATTGTGGAATGAACTTTCTCTGTGCTCTCCTTTCCCATTGATTGGAAGGCATTGATTGAATAACTATCTAGAAGTTGCCGACCTTAAAAAGTACAACATGCTAAAGAATACGTTACATTGGGTCCCCATTATGTTAGCTTCAATATATAAAGAACACTCGGTTGACTAATTTGTTACTTACATTTCATTCATTTAAAACCATAGCGAGTCACGTGATGTTGGTGGCGTTGGTGGAACAAGGAGTCTCTCTTTCATCTCTGCTCGAGGCAACCGAAACAACCAGACGTGAATGTACAGCGACGCATTTTATGTGGAGGGTAATTTAAAAAAGGAATAAATAAAAGTACTGCTGCATCGTACGTACCGTTATACGTACGTATCATTTCTGAAACTCCCCAATAATTAGTAGGGGGCCGGTCAAGTATTACGTAAGCACTATGGGGGCGGGGATCTATGCTTTGCTTATTTTGGATGACATGTAATCATCATCTATACTCCCTTACCTCCCGTAAGGAAGTATAGCTGATGATTACATCGCAACCCTCACATTGTCTTTGCTTGAAAACGAAATACATTTCCGTAAATAATACATTCGTTTAGGCACTCGCTTTAGAACCGAGTAGTTCCCGCGCGCTATTAACTTATCTACATTTCATCTGTCAGTGTATTATTTCATTTGGATACTATAGCGAATAGGCGTATTGTAAGCATAGCAAAGCAAGTTAACATTTATGTTAGCATTGATTCCATTAGCTAAAGTTTAATGTTTGAATAAGATGTCGTTTCAAATAGACAAATTCAAGTAAAACCAAAAAATGTTAGAAAGTTTAAAAAATCTCATACTACTACTGTAGTATGAGATTTTTGAACTTTACAGTTTTTTTTACAGTTAACGAAATACCGTATCAGGAAAATCTACTCTACCATAAATTTATTTTCTTATTTTTATAATTATGCCATAAATGCCATAAAAAACAGAACAGAACTTTGAGCGTGAACTTTATTATTACGTTTAATTTGACGTTTTCAAATATTGATAAACTAGATAATATTTAAGCTACAGTAACGTTTACGTTTAACATAAATGTTCATGTTTAGTTTCATTAATTTCATATAGAACGTTGGCGACCGACCGCCGAAGTCCTTTGATATTTTTATTATTTTTAAATTTGTTTTTCTTTTTTATATGTTGTGTTATTTGATATATTTCACTTTATTCTCTAATTGTCTTTTGATAGTTTCGCAACTGCATATATTATTGCAAATTACGAGTTTTCATCATTTAGACACCCATACAGTCCACCGATCCATTACATAGAATATTAAACTTCGTTTAAAAACTCCGTGTAAAATCTTATAGGGATAAAATATTACTTTTTCAATACAAGACTATTTGTTAACATTAGATATTTGGTTGTATAAGATAGGGTTTATTGACTCGTACTGAAAGTACATAATGTACAAAAGTTAGTTAACGAAGTGTGGCATAATACCGTATCAGTAAAATCTAATCGCTAACGTAAATCTATTTTCTTATTTTTAAAATTGTAATTCAACATTATAATTATATTATTAAAAAAAACAATACGTTAATTGAAAAATGTTTACGTAAGTATGGGGGGAGGGGTTAAGCTTACTTTTGCTGACAAAGGGGGATGGGAGGGGGGGGGGTATGTAACTGCAATAAATCTGCTTACGTAATACTTGAACGGCCCATAGGTTAGTTGGTTTAGCTTACATATGTCAATAATAATATCCTTGGACAATTCACACAGCGCCATCTAGTCCCAAGGTAAGCAGAGCTTGTGTTATGGGTACCACAGATAAGATATTATATATATATATATATATATATATATATATATATATATATATATGTGTGTACTAAACATATATATACTTATATATTTCTTTATACTAAAAACACCCAGACCAATACAAACAATTTTGAATACAAATGTTTGTACCGTGCGTGAAATCGAACCCGCGACCATCGGAAATAAAGCGGTGTTTAAAGTTAAATGTAAAATATGGACCATGCAGAAAATGGCGCCATTTCTTTAATGATTCGACGATAGCATATGCTTCTTTTTCTATAGCTGAGTGATTATGCTCACTAGCGTTTAATGCTCTTGAATAAAATGCTACTGGTCTTAAGTCTTGTGAAAGAACAGCTGCAATAGTGTTCAGATGCATCAGTCTCGACGGTAAATGGTAATTTATCGTTGATAGCGTGGACTGAGGACTTGGCTATATCAGCCTTCAATTTTTGAAACTCTTGAATTTGTTCAGTATTTAAGGGGAATGTTTCAGTTTTGTTAACATTTGGATTCCTTCCGAAATGTTGGGAATCCACTTAGAGTAGCAAACATTCCCAATGCTCGCCTGAGTGATGGCATATCATATGGTGCTAACAGTGTTATTAAAGGTCGAAGACGATCATTATCAGGCGTAATTACGTGATTAGATATATTATATCCTAGGATATTTATAGAGGTCAGACAAAATTTAGATTTTTCTTTGTTGAGTGTAAGACCATACTTTTCAGCTGCTCTTAGAAACTTACGTGTTCGTTTTGAGTCTTACCGCAGACGGTTATATCATCAAGATAAGCAAAGGTTCCCTTCAGTTTTTCTTTTCTAATCACCCAATCGATGGTTCTCTGAAAACTGGAGACACCATTAGTAGCACCAAAAGGGATACGTTTAAATTGATACAAGTTTCCGGCTGCTTCGAAGGCCGTGTACGGTCTTTCAGAAAGTAATATAGGTAACTGGTGATAGGCACTCTTTAGATCAATAGCACTAAATATGGAATAGTTTGATATTGTACAAATAGTGTCCTCTATGTTTGGCAAAGGATAAGCATCTAACAAAGTGTATTCGTTGATCGCTTGGGAATAATCTATACAAAGCCGCTTTTTATGATTTTCCGTGTTGGATATAAGTACTTGTGCCCGCCATAGTGATTTACTCTCTTCAATAACGCCTTCTGCCAATAGTTTATTTACTTCGTCTTCAATGAACTTTTTATCTTCATCACTGTATCTCCGTGATATAGCAGCAATAGGTCTACAGTCAAATGAAAGATTAGCGAATAGTGGGACAGCTGGTACGGATGCTTGTGCTACATTACATAGTACTAGTGGTTCTTTAGCTCCACCAAAGCATAATTCTAGTGAGGAGTGCTTCAATAAGACATCATGACCAATTATTAGATCAGCACATAGATTATTGACAATAAGTAGGCTTATATTTTCGTAGGTATGTTTACCGATTTTTATATTCTGGTACGTCTCACCAGCGACAGGGGTGTGACTCAACGAAACTATAGAAATGGTTTGATGACTTGGTTTACTCTTAAGATTGCATAGTTTACAGAATTTATAATATATATAAGATTGCATAGCTTTGATTAGAGAAAATAGTGATGCAGCTATAATGCACGCCGAAACATCATCGTGGCGGCACTGTGATTCTTACTACGACACACTTTTGCAAAATGTCCCTTTTTCTCACATATTTGGCAAGTGACGTCTGAAACGGGGCAATTTCTACGTGGATGTACGTTTCCTCCACAGAAGAAACATTTACGGCGACGATAAGTACTCGCTACGAAAATTTCTCCCTCCATTGATATTGATGTTTTGATATTTGATTCTGAATTTTTAATCACGTTAATTGTTGGCATGTTAAAACTCTGGGAATTTGTTTCAGCCATCTCCAATCAGAGTGCTTGGTTACATGCTTCGCTAAGTGAAAGTCAAATTTTCAAACAGCCTTTGTCTTATTTTGCTTGAAGAGATACCAGAAATAAAAGCATCTCTTATGCTCTCATTCTTATTAGTTTCCGCATCTATAGCAACGAATTCGCAGTCTTTAGATAGTTGTTTTAAAGCTTGCATATATACATCAATGGATTCCTCTGTACGTTGTTTTCTAGAAGGAAGCACATGCCTAGCGTATATAATATTCTTAGGCCTTATATACAATGCATTTAATACCGCCATTGCTTCAGAGTACGTTTTATTTTCGCTGATATATGTATATACATGCGATGATACATGGTTGACGAATAACTGTAGTTTACCTTCGTCTTGGAGTAGTAGTGACATAGTAGAGACCGCTCTATTGGCATCGATTTGCTGTTATTGTGCTGCAAGAAAATTTTGAAAAGTTCTTTTCCAATGTTCCCAATCTAAATATTTTAGTAAATTAAATTGATAAGATATTACTAAATAAATATAATATAAATAAAAAATATAAATAAAAAAAAGAACCGCATATTACTAAATAAATGGTTTTAATTTACTAAAAATTCTACTGCTATTAATATATCAATTTTGACAAGCAATGGACAATAAATATGACACGGCTGCAAAACTCATTAGGTACAGCTATTTAGCTATAATAAGAAAATATTTCTATTCTTGAATCAAATATGGTTTAAACAAAGTATTTTTATGCCCATCAACCTCGGCTTATTCACTGTGGTTACAACACACGAAATAATGTGAGTGACAAGTTAATATACTAAAAAAAACAATTCATAGGTTCAATTTATTATTATAAGTTGTAATGTATTTAGGTAAATAACAGAGAATTTCACTTTGACCAGACAATACTCTCTATCCAATCTAAATAATGAGATATTCGTGTGTACACTCCAGGCACAGGCGTGCCGCAACCAGATCCAAAAGACGTAATGCCTACTAAACGATAGATAGGTTCGGTTAATTGCAGCGGTCCGCCAGAATCACCCTGCAAAATAAAATTTAACATTACTCTGACATTTTAATACCATTACCATTTTACTTGGTGCTTCTAACAGATTCGACAATGTAAACTTTAACTACTTATACCAAGAAAGTGCACTAATATTATGGCGGGAAACTTGCCATCAACTTTTACCGTTGTTGACATGAAATTTTTTTTTATAACAGGGGACAAACGAGCATGCGGCTCACCTGATGGTAAGTGATTACCGCCGCCCATGAGCACCCGCAACACCAGGGGAATTGCAAGTACGTTGTCGGCCTTTTAAAAATGAATTAGCTCTTTATCGTATCGGTTCGGAAATACCATTGCTGGAAGTTGATTCCACAATGTGGTTGTGCGAGGCAAAAAGTTTCTAGAAAACCGAACTGTGGAAGACCGCCATTCATCCAGATGATCAGGATGTTATTTCAGTTTCTGGTGGGTGGTACGGTGGTGAAACTCAGCAGCTGGTATTAATCCGAACAATTCCTCAGAACCCCGTGATATATGCGGTAGAAATTGCTTCCTAACTAATAAGAACTCGCCACATTATCGAGAAGGCATATTTCAGTAACGACATTAATTCAGAATTGAACCCAATTTATTTTTACTACTAAATAATGGTAATAAAACACAATAAACATTTAGCCAATTTTTTCTTCAAATTACTAGAATTTACTAGTATTAGAATTATTTAGTTTGGTGATATTATAAGTATACTTGTAGCACAGCCTTAATTACCTGGCAGGTATCGTGTAGACCTTCTGTGTCGCCGGCACACAGCTGCCCACTTGTGATTCCATTTGGCAGTTTTCGCCATTTATCTGACGTGTAATTCTTACTACATTTTTCCCGCGACACAATTGACACTTTTGCTTTTAACAAAACGTCACTCCTTACATCACCTGGGACCAAAATGAATACATTAAGCAAATATTTGAATTTAAATATTTTAGAAATTCACAGATGCATTTGATTGATTGATTTCACGTGTGAATAACAAAAGTAATTTTATTTGTATGTTAAAATTACATTACCATATAGTTATTTGACTTACGTGATGTACTGGTCTTGCCCCAGCCTGTTATGGTTAGATCTCTGTCTGGGTCTTCACCACTTGTGTATAGACATATGGCATTCAAAGTGCTTGAAAATTTTGCAGGTTTCTCCAATCTAAAATAAAAAACAACAGTTGCCTTCACACTTTCACGTTTAGTACAAAAGTTTGTCCAGTCTTAAGATGCATAATAAAATGGTAGGTACATAAAGTATTTAAATGTATACGCGAACGAAGTCGTGGGCAGTACTAGCTAAAAATGTTAAATGCGAGAATTTAAATATAAGAACGAAACAAGTTTGTTATATTATTTTCTGAAAACTCCAGGAAACAGTGTGATAACCAAACAAATTACTCTGAGACGGCGATAGATTCGCCTGGTCACCCCCTTCTCCGATGCATTTCTATTTTATCAGTGACATATATGCATATGCATACACATTAAATATTGAGATCACCACATCGACAGATAACCATATTTCTGCCTATCTCATGTCGTATTAGCGCTACTAATAATGTATTTTATGTAATTTCAATGACATAGAAACAGACGGCTCGTCTATTCAAGAGGCGGTTTCCACTTATCAGTGGGAACCTATACTATAGGTATATATAATAATCGTAGTCTCATATACTCTTTTCCTCATTCAACCTACTACTTATACACCAATCATAATTATATATGTACATAATATATTAGTTTATATGCATTTAATTAAAGACATATTTCAGTACTTAAATATAATCTATGATCATGCATTTTGGGTTTACAATAATATAGTACATAGTTAATTTAAATAGTTATAAGTTTTCTAATTGTAAACCTGTTTATGATCCTAAATAAATAAAAATTAAAAATAGCATAAAACTAGAAGACCGGTACCGCGTTACTATGCCATTCTAGAGGACCAAGAAAAATGTTTGTAATCCGTCCTGTGTACTGTCTTATCGCACTTGACTGAAACACATCTAGTAAAGGCTCCTTGGCAACTTCGTTTTTTTTGTCTGTGAAAGTAAATCGCATGGATGTTATCTGACATGGGACATTGCTAGAAATGAGGTCATCAGTCCACACCTGTGTTGTACTAACAATGACGTTTCCCCCTTGCGACTTAGTTGAGACCAAGTTACCCACTCTGACAGTTAATTAGTAACATTTACATCAATACAAACAGACTACATGAATACAATTTATTGGGATTATAAGCCAGATATATGGGTCTTTAACCTTACCTTAATAATGCAATGTCGTGATACTTTTGTCGACGTGTATACTCAGGATGCGATATTACATTTCGTATTCTAATATCAGTTTCCTCGTTAAAATTCTTGCCACCAATTTCTACAACGCCCCCACGAACGATACTGGGTTCAATCCTTAAAAGAGATTCTTGATATATAGTTTTAATACTACATAAACTCTATCTTATATATCCAAATATCTAATGTTAATAAATAGTCTTATGTTGTAAAAATAATATTTTATGCCTATAACATTTTAAATGGAATTATGAAGATTTATGTTAAACGTGAACGTTACTGCAGCTTAAATAGTATTATTATATTAGTTTATCAATATTTGAAATTATTTTGAAGTGACGTGTAAAAGATCACGCTCAAAGTAATTAATTTTCATGTAAAATTATTATTATTTAATTTTTACTTATAAGGCCAAAGTAACAGTTCACGATTTAATCGTTGATTAACAAGTAACTTGTTCATTACTATAAGTAAATAATTGAAGTATTCGTTGCGTTATATGAATATACATAAAAACCATTACATGTCTTTAGTAACGACGCAATGCGCTGCTGTGATAGCGTACGTATTTGACACCAACGCTCCGCCGCAATCGAATATATAGCCCTCGCCCCGGTCAAATCCAAGAGCCACCTGTAATTATATGTTATAAACACAATCATTTTATAGAACCTTAATTATATTTATATAATATAAAATGACTAACATTTTGTATTATGACAGAAATGAGAACAGGGAGATTTAATAGTTGGAAATAAAAACTGTTTTTTTATGGCATGCCCATAACGAATCCTTCTCTGTCGTTTAGGGTTACGCGCCCAAAAGATAGAAACAAATCAAATCATATCAAAAATCATTTATTCGTAAGACATTTTAGTCGCTTATGAACATGAAGTTTTTTGTATTAATATTTTTTTTCTACCTAAAATATTTATATGTAACATATATATATATATATATATATATATGATATTTATTTAATAATAAAATATACCTATTATAATAACTGGATTTCAATGTTCAAACGGAATGACAAGAAACAAGTATATTTTTTTAGCAACATATTTATATTTATTTAAACAAAGTAACTGTTCAAACAAATAATTTATGAAAAAGAAGAGAACAGTATTACGAAAAGATACCGGCTCGTGGGTAATCAGACAACAAAGTAACTTAGAATAGGCACTAAATTAATGTATGTATATGCGCTTTCAAAATAAATAGTTGACGTACAATGAAAACATCAGTATCTATATATATTTTGTGAGGCTGGATATGTATAAGGTTTAATCAATATTACTTTAAGTATAGCTCTTTGACCTTTTTGCCTTCGTAATATACGTATGTACCAACCCGAGTTGTTATGCAAATTGTTATTAAGAATTAGCACAAGATGAAGTATACTAAAATCAGCAGCAGTTCTAATTCGTTGAATATGTAATTTTTTTAATTCTACTGGTAAGCATCTCCGTATTCTTTTTCTAGTATACAGTTGAGTCAATAAGCTAACAGTTATCATTAATTTTGATTTGATTGAAATTCAAAGAGAGTTCTCCTATCATGTATGTACCATTAGACAGTTTTAAACAAAAGGAAATTAAATATAATATATAAATTTTTCATACGGCAGTTGGTTTGTAATTTAGTTACAGTTAGTTATTGCAATCTCTCTTATATAACTAATAACGAGTTACATTTAAATTGCTTTTATATATGTACGTAAGTACACACTGTAGTAGCATATATATATACAGACCCACAAAGGACCCGACTTGAAGCTAATCTAAATAATTAGTCACACAACAATTATAACGATTCCTTTCGTTTTCCTCTTTAATATTATTCTTCTTGAATTTCTTGCAAGGAAGAATAATATTAAAGAGGAAAACATCGTTTAAAACAATGTTATTACATTAGTAAATTTAAGCATATAAACTGTATTATGCAAATATTATAAGGATAATAACAAAACAATTTGAACTCACCATATGTGCAAATTCCCCGAGCGCAGAAACATCCCCGCCTATTATATATTGTCCTAGTGGAACAATTTTAGATTTCAATATTTTGGTGCATTCTGAAACGTAATAACAAAAATTTTAAGTCCTGTTGATTCCACTTTGACTACATATAATTGATATTATGCTTGTATTTTACAGTGCTTATCCCTGACGGGCCTAGGCGTCAGTCTAAAAACGGGAGAACACACAGTGCAGTGCTACTGGTCTAAAGCACCGAGTAATAGTCCTAAGTAAATCTAAGTCTCTTATAGCAGAAACAAGATTACCTCTGTCGGCTATTCTTTGCGAATTTTGTATATCATCTGGTAATTGCGGCCCTGAAACAAATGTATTTATTATTTTATTACAATTATTCTTATTATATATAATATAAATTGTTTAATTATTCTGCTAAAGGAAAATAAAAAATAGTCTAAACTTGCCATATTCTTTTCTGCTATATAAAATTAATAAAACATGTAGATTCAACCCGCTCAAAAAGATTTATATTTCGATTATTGAAACTATAACAGTGAAATATAAATCTTTACATTCTCAAAATTATTTTAAACAAAGACTAAAGAACAATGTAATTAATTATGAGTGAATAACTAATTTACTCACTTTATAATTGCCTAAATGCATACATGATTTGACTTAAAAGTTGTAAAAAAGACCATTTATGACATGTTAGTTAATAAGTGCTATTACAATATTAATGATTATTTTAATGACAAATATAATCATTAGTCATATTTTGTACAGTTGTCTTATTTTTAATTATTTTCCTAAATATATTAGTGACACACATATTTTTACCAACCTTAACTCACCAAATATAGTCTTCAAAGTAGTATATAGATATACATTGCAATATTTTTTTTTATAACTTATTGATGCCTTTTTCAAATATGAATTTCAAAATAATATAAAATAGTATTAACTAATTATTAATAATTAACTTTTACAATGTATAAATTGTATGTCAAACTATGGACTATGCACAACAAATCCACAGAATAGTGAGGCCACTCTGTGAAGCCTGTGAAGATGCCAGGAGACTTCTGTGCTTTTGTAGGAAAAAAACAACTTTTCTACAAAAGCGTAGAAGCACTTCTCTACATGCACAACAGCCCAGATGAAAAGCTGATTGCAGAAAATGGAGTCCAACTTAAGTTTTACATTTACATGCACTAAGCACATATTTTAGTTATTTTCATAGTCCATTATGGGCAATAGCAGCCAATATTAAAAATATATTGAGTCATATTATAAAAACTTCTCATTCATGTGATTTGATATATGAGGAGGCACATTAAGAGAGAATGTCATAGAGTTACTGTTGCTTCTAAATATTTAAAATAAAATTAATAAAGTTAAGCAAGAGTTACAGAAATATAGAGACAACCCATAGAACTGATATAAATGCAGGTCCAAGCTCACTAGCATTACAGTTTAGGAAAAGAAAAACTTACCAAATTTATCTGTAGTATGTGGACAACATACAATTTCAGTATATCCACTAAATCCACATCTTTCAAATGAATGATAATTTTTATTTTTAATTGACCTGAAAACAAAGTATTACAATGTTGCAACTCTTTTTTCTTTCATATCTGTATCTACAGATTATATTTACAAAAGGAGTATAGCTAATATTAACATTTATTTATAAACTATTATCATACTAAAAAATATAATCATAGGATATGGGAGAAATATATAAATTAAAAATACTTAATGTGTAGCCAGAGATGAATTTTTGCAGTTAATAATATTGTATATAATTATATATATTATATTTTAGGTATATAATTTACAGCACAAACAATAAAATATATAATATATATTGCGTAAATAATATTGCAATGTTATAAATCTTATCGATTATTACTGACCTTATTGCCACCTCACAGTTGTTGATTAGAGTACAAATACCATCAGCTATCTGGTTATTGGGTACACATTCGTCACCGACTGTAAACATATTCATTTAGAACTCTAACATAAATACTTAAAGCAAAATTTTAAAGTAAAACTTACCATCGGCTATTATCAAATTGATAAATATAAAAATATATAAAAAAGACTGTAACCACATTGTACACTCCATTCAATAAAAGAATCCAAAGCATTAAATTATTTTCCTCATAATGCAAAGCATAACTACAGCTACACTAATTGGTAAAAATTTATAGATGTTCTGTTTCCGTACGATGATTCAAACAAAACCGGTTTGTTTTGTTTGTTGCATTATTTTTATATACTTGTCAAGTATATGATTATGCATGTGTCTACATTGACAGTGACGTCTGCGATGAAAAACCGTCAACTATTGACTGCATTTGAAGTCAATTTTCACTTCCACATTTCAAGTCAAAAACACACCTAGTCTCAGTTTAAACCTTCGCTGTGCTAAATTCATTAATTCGAAATCAAGTTTTAGACAAGTGTTTAGTATAATGGTACTAATATTGATATATAGCGTTCCTTTTTTTCTCTATTAGCGGTGGTCAGAAGTGGCAGTTCAAATATTAACCCAATCCTAGTTATTTACATACATACTTTGCATGAATATTTTAAAATAAAATGTATGCATAAAAACAAAAGTGGAAAACAGTGTTAAAAAGTGCACATATATAAATTTGGTCTTAAATGACAGATTTGTTATTTTCAACCTTACAACTATATGCATCATGGTTCATAACTAGGTAACAGTGTTGTCGCAAAATATAAGTAAATTTGCTGCAAGTCCAGTGGAATGAATTATTGTTATACGCGACCTCCTTTAACTTATTAATAATTCCCATAAATTAAATTGTGATAAATTTATAAATTTTGCTGTACTATTTAAATCCGTTTCTATTGATCGTTTCATTAAGTGAAATTGAAGGTATTTAATATATATAATAAAAGAAAGTTTAAGTGAGGAGAAGGGGTGAGGAGATGGACGATTATTCTATTGTACAATAGAATAATCGTACTTTACAAACTAAAAAATAACTGACAGTTTTTGTTATGCCAAACACCTTCTGTCAGTTATTTTTTTTTATATTTTCAGAAAATAAGAACATCAGAGTTATGCACTCTACGAAGTAGAGTAATAATAATAAACAATCGCCACAAATAGAAGTAGAGCACTTGTGGCGAAAAACAAATATTTATGAAGGGAAAATTTTGAAGAAAATCACGACAATAATCTGACAACACTCATACTGAGCAAAGAATCACAACGCGTGTTAATATTCGGTATTTGTAAGACTGACTGCAAAAATGACAACTGACTGACCGCTTGAGATTATTTCAATCCAATTCCTCACATCAATGGTCGACTTGATTAGTTATTTACGTTTCGGTAAATGTGATGTTGTGATTGCAGGTTTTCTTCACCCACCTGCTGCGTCTTATTTAAATTATTAATATTAAATCAGATTGCTTGTTGACAAGAGTTTAGTGTTGTCGATATTTTGTTTTTTATAGTTCTACCCAAATGCATGTCAATCGAGATTTTGTATCTTAAAATAGTAGTAAATACCGATCGTGTTGGTAATTATGACAAACAAGGACATAATCTCTGTGAAATAATATTGCGGAGTGGCATGACATCCCCGAGTGGTGTGAATACGCGAATAAGCACTAATCATCACACTGCAATGGCAAGTCACTTAAATTCTTCTGTGGATTTTGGTAGGGCGGTTGCTGTACCGCCCCCGTCATCAGGCATTGGATATGATTTCCATGTTGCTGGCTGCAGCGACTCTTCTTCCGAGTCCCATTCGCCGGAGATGCCAACGATTAAAGCAAGTGACCGTGAATCTCGCATTATAGCAGAAAAACAGCGCCGAAGCTTGTACAACGCCCAGATATCACAGATTACTGCATTACTCTCTGATATTGGTCAGTCTCAGCGTAAAGTTGACAAAACCAGTGTTTTGAGACTGGGAGTTAATAAGTTGCGCAATGAACATGTCTTTGGTGATACTATCAAATGTGTTCACTTAGACTCATGGTCTCCAGCATTTCTGAAGTATTTCGATCTTTTTGGCGGTATTATGATTGCAGTGACTTGTCGTGGTCGTATTTTTATTGTATCTCCAAATGTTCAAGAGAAATTAGGATATTGTCATGTGGATATGTTGGGACAAGATTTGTATAATTACATACACATTGATGATAGGGACATACTTAAACGACATATATATCCCCCTGAATTACGTAGTGGATGTCAACGACAGTTATTTGAAGAGCACCATAACTTTAATATCCGCATTATGAGAGCATCTGCTAAATCAGATCCACAACGGTATGAACGGTGTCGCATAAATGGAGTATTGAGACGTTCAGACAGGGCCACTGCAAATACAGTACAGGATGAACAGACAATAAGAAGACAACGAGTTAGACGGAATCACACATTTTCATCTAGCGGTAATGACATTGTGTTTATTGGAATGATTCACATATTGTCAAATGCATTGCCTGCTCGTGTGATGCCTCCAACTGCATATACAGAGTATTGGACGAGGCATTTAATTGATGGTCGTATAGTACAATGCGATCAAAGTATTTCATTGGCAGCTGGGTATATGACTGAGGAAGTGACGGGAGCATCTGCATTTGTGTTCATGCATAAAGAAGATGTACGCTGGGTAATATGTGTTCTGAGGCAAATGTATGATCAAAGCCGGGAATTTGGAGAATCATATTACAGACTTATGTCTAGGTCTGGTCATTTTATATATATGAGAACCAGGGGTTTCCTTGAAATTGATAAAGAATCGAAGAATGTTCAAAGTTTTGTGTGTGTAAACAGTGTAGTTGGTGAAGAATATGGTCGACGTATGATGGATGAAATGAAACGTAAGTATTCAGTCATAGTGGACATAGACCAACAACAAAACGATAGCTTTGAATCATTTGATGAAGCTCCAGTTGAGCATCCAAAGCGACTGGAGAGAATTGTTATGCATCTGGTGGAATCTCCATCTCCTAAGTCTAAGAATGATGACTTAAAACTTGTAGTCCCCTCAAAACAAAATATAATAACAGCTATAAAGAACAGTGAGCGGGTTGTACAAGAAACTGGTATAAAGTTTGATTCCAGAAAAAGGAAAAAGCCAGATGACCTGAATAGTGAAAGTTTGAAAAGGCATAGTGGACTACAGGATTACAAATTCTAAGTTGTGTTTTTATAACTGTCAGGGCTGTTTGATATTCGTGATTTTATGTTCCTAAGACTTAATAATGTACCTTGCTAAATATTATGTGGATGGTGAATAGCATACTTGACCAAATAGTTCATTATATTAGTATGTTTACATAAATGTAATTTTGGTACAATTTATATTGAGTGACTGAAGTGTTGAACAGGCATTGTTTAGGGCGATTGACATTATTTGAAAATAAGGGAAAGTGATAAAGGTCAGTTTGGAATTAATGGAATTAATTTTCAGTGATTGTTTAATATTCAGTTATTGTACCTAAACACATAATATACACAATTATAGTATGTCTTATAAGACTTAATAGAATTTTTATCCAAATATTAATTCCAATTTCCATTGTTGGTGTTTCCATGCCATGACAATATAAAGAATCTTGAACCCCTTAATTTTAAAATCATAAGACTGAGTGAATCTGAAATACCTAGGAGGATTGCTTTTTAAAAAGATATGTCAAATATAATACCTAGGTGTATTGGATGATATTAATAGTGAGTAGTCATAAACAATGCCTGTATGCACAATTTGTTACTGTGCCAAAGGTCTGCCCTGTATTTGAAATGCTAATTTCTGATATAATTCTAACTAAACATAAACTAAACTCCATATATCAAAATAAAACATATATATAATACATATTGTTAGTGTGGACAAATTATAAATAAACAAAGCATTGCATCATATATTATTGACTAAATACAAATAGTTACATATATAACTTAAATATTTCCATGTGTAATACCTTACCATCATATTATTGACCACTTTCGCCAACGATTTCATTTTGTTTGGAAACCAATTTAAATCCAATTAACACAAATTTTTAAATTAGGCTTACCATAACACATGCACTGTGTCCAAATTCGTTACTGACACGCTCCCACAAACAAACAGATAAAATGTTAAAATCAATGTTTTGCATTCTACTGTATCAATGGAGTCCTATTTTCAATAAAGTACTAGAATAAATCCATAAAAAAAAACATATTTTATATGTTTTTTTTTCTATACATAGAGATGACAAAATATTCATAGGCTGTTTTTGAGAATAATATTTTTTTTATAATACTAAACCACTAGACCACCAAAGCCGGCTAAATGGTTTCTTTGTTGTTTCTAATAAATTTAATAACTTTAAATGCTAATATACAACATAATTTCTGAAAGCATTTTGTACGACAGCAGTGCCCAAATAAATATTAGTATTATTTAGTTTAGATTTTTCTTTGGATCCTAATTACTGTTACCGGTGTCGTAATATATGTAATCACTAAAAACAAGTTCATAACCCGAAATTATTATTATTTAAATATCACATGCATTAGAAGAATTAAGGCAAATATTTCTGTTAAAATATGTTTAAGAGCTTGTGACTACTGGTACTCGTAGATTGATTCTTTCTTTTTCTAAAAGCCATTTGTTTAAGTCTATCTATAATATATACATGTTGCGGTAAAACTCCGATAGTTTACCACATTTTAAATAAACTTAACGGTTACTATATATTATAGAAGTTTGTTATATATATCAGTGTTTATAACATTATTAATTTATTTATGAAAACTAAACAACTCTTTTTAATGTGAAACTGCGAATTTTATTACCACCATTTGTATGTTGTGCAATAAAACCTAAAAATTATTTTACCCTATCAAAGGTACATTATTATATTTACTAATATGCTATTAATCATATACTTACATCCGAAATATATATGTAGTTAAAAAAAATATTCCAGAATAACTGATTAAATATTTGTAAAAATTATACAATCATTACATACATAAAACAGTAACGAAGCGAAAACTTTACAGACCTGTAGCTTAGATTCTTCTGTGTTTGTAGGTTTAAGGGTTTGACTTTTTATGTACTAGGGTTTCTCGTAAAAACACTAACTGACCGTGACTGACTTCGACTGATTGTGATGAAAATTTCACAGTATTTATTATTAAATATATATGTATATAACCCGTACTGTCATATAACTTTAACATATGTAAGTAAATATGTTAACCAGTAAGTAGGTTAAATAGTACCTAACTTTTTCCAAACTTCTTGTCAATGAAACTTATTGCCCAAAAATAGGTATAGCAATTCTATCTTCTAGACAAATGACTGCGTAAAACTCATTTTGAATGGTAGTAGACACCAGCAAAGTCGCTAGTACAGTTGTAAAAGATGACTGCATACATCTAATGTTAGTTAAAGTAGCATTTAACTAAAAAAAAGGTCCAATTAAAAAAAGCTCCTAAAATATCTTCATCTAATATGTAATTTAAAAGACTCTGTTAAAACTATTTATAAATAAGGTAGTTTTTTTTTAAATTAAATTTTATCTTTCCTTAAATATAAATTAAAAGCATTAAAAAGAGCTTGACTTCAATACGAACACTAAGGTTAGAAAAAAAATTAAGAATTTACAGTTTCGATACCGATACGGATATCTGTGAATACAGATTACATTGTGACCGTTTTATGACTGAGTTCCAATAATGTATATTATGTATACTTATACATAGTACAAATTATTAGGATTCAGACAAAATCGGTCACGTAAGATACTTAGCTTACATTAGCACTATACAGAACAACGGAAATATAATTATTTACAAGAAGAATACTATACATAGAAATTAGGTCTGTTTCCATACTATTGTATTTATGTTGAGTTTTATTAACATTTTAGTAGTTGATGGGAATTTTATGTTACGCTTGGTAACTTTGCCCCCTTTTAACTCTAAAACCTAAAAGGGACAATGTTACCTAACCGATTTATTGAACGATTGACAATGTTTAGATGTAAAGCCTATTAAGGATATGTTAGGTAATCTCTGATCCCATATCATCTGACAAACCTACCTTACCACATGTCAGGACGTTCCCCCAGAAGTGCGCAATCCTGCCGGCGCCATTTTATTAAACAACAATTACAAAATACATATATCAACTATGTCGGACAATATTATTTATACTACTCGTGGTACAAAACGGTATGAAGGTCTTATTGAAATGTGGCAGTCAAAATAGTCTACTGCATCAGGTGGCCATAATTATAACTTTTTGTTACTTCCATAATAGTTGTACCTAAATAGCTAGAAAGAGTATTTGTATGTAATATTTTATTTAAACAACTACTGATTTATAATTTGTATTTACAAGTATAGAAACCCTTATAGTTATGAACAGTATTTTTAAATATGATGATAAAAGATTTGGATTTCAACTTGCACCTTAAGATTTTTATGTTAGGGCTTTCTGTACTAGGTGCCTAATAAAATACTTTTGTTTAGATATTTATATATGTATTCGTGGATATAAAATTCTCGTATTGTGTTTGTAACCAAACTCCTCCGAAACGGCTTACCGATTTTATGAAATTTTGTGTCCATATCTGGAAGGTCTGAGGAACGGGCAACATTTTTTTTCATTCCCTTGCGTTTGTGGGGATACAGACTATACTGTATATATATATTTTGCCATCCAAACAAATATAATATATGTAATTGTATATTTACATGATTTACCATAATGTTTCTGGATATTATTCTCATACTTTCTTCATTAAATGTGTAAGAATTTGATAAAAAGAACTATGTGTATTATTAGATGATTATTAAGGCGAGATTGATACGTAGCTACTGTAAACTGTGAACATGTATGGGATACTAAACAATGGTGCGCTACTCTGTCGCGTCTACCATTAGATATTCCGTGGATACCAGCTATATAGCAGGTATCTGTAGGTACGCAATTATCTAACAGTTTATTCGAATTTATGGTAATAATATCAGGGTTGGTTTTTTAATTAAGGAATAAATGTTTGGAAAGTAGGTAAATGATGGGTAGGACACTTGTTTTAACAAGTGACAATATGTACTGCTACAGCAGGGTAAAGTTAGAAATAGTTGTCGTTTTTTTATAACATTGACTGGAAGGTTGTACCAATGTTTGGTATAATTATGTACCACAAACTTTCTATATCTAAGATGTCATTTACTGATGAATTCGTTAGATGTAAGTAGTAGCTAGTATAAACAAACTTTACTTTTTTATCTGTCGTACATTAAGAGAATCCTAGTGTAGAGTAAAATGGCACATTTATTAAGCAAAATTATATTCATACTTATTTCAATAGTACTAGTACAGCGCAGTTTTGTGTAGTCGGCTTAATGTAATACAATGCACTTGGCACAATGGTTTCTGGATGGCATGCCGACATTTGATACCTTGCCACCAAAACTGCATTATGTAAATTTATCATTTAGGCGTCAAAAGCACTGGAATAGTCTGTCTATCAGCAAATTCATTATTATATTACGTACGTATGTGCTGAATATATGCCTCCTCTTTACTGCATCGTGATATATCTTCCTGTGCCAATGCCATCCATTTTCGCGGGCTTTGGTAATGGTAACTACGAATTGGTAATGGATGATATTTGGTCTGAGCATTTTATTAGTGGTTTGATCTGGAGCATACTGTTGTATATTCTGTAAACTCAACAGCTGATATCAAACGCAATTGAAGAAAAATTGTGAAAAGCTAGCCCAGGGATGCCAATCCTACATATGGGAACCTGGAAATGATATAATATATAGGTGAAATGAGATTTGTCAGATTAGAGAGCTAAATTGGGCCTTTGTACGAGATTTTATCAGATTTTTTATTTCTTCGTACCAGGCTAAGTATGTCTAAGGTTGGCAACTCTGCCCTATCCTACTATTCTGACATTACACACTTTTCACCAGATTGTATAGAGGTTGTTCGCCTCCATTTTCCACTTTTATTTTTTGATCTGTATTCAACGTTAAATTTTAATATTTGATACAATACTTAAAACAATTACAGTAGAAATATCGGAAATTGTCCAATGATTGTCGGTTCTATATAAATTATTATAAAATGTGTTCGTAACTATTCGCCATAACAGATTGTTGATGATGTATTCTGGTAATGACGTCTCTTATTTAGAATATGTACTTATATAATAATAGTAATAACCCTGGATAATTCACACAGCGCCATCTAGTCCCAAGCTAAGCAGTGCTTGTGTTATGGGTACAAGACAGCTGATAGAAATATATATATAAATACATTTTTTGTAAATACATAGAAAACACTCAAACTGATACAAATAATTCTACTCATGAATACAAATACATATTTATGATACCATGCCAGGAATCGAACTTACATCGGGAGTAAGGCGGTGTAAACCACCAGACCACCGAGACCATCATAAATGAATAATAAGAATGTAAATGAATGAAATTAGTAAAAATAACTTATAATTCGACAGTATTAAATATTGATTACAGAATTTCTCAAAATACAGGTTAATAATCTTGCCAATATGTAATGTAATTAAAGGTTTTCTATAAATTGTGCTAATTGACTTAGAAATTGTTATATTGTACATCGAATGTTCTCGAGTACCTACCGTGGTATCTAATTACTTTGTTTATAATATTTGCAGTTGTATGCATTTCTAAATGTAACACGAATCTGTAATTAAATTATCAATTATAAATGTTCGTAGATGTCTCATTACTTGTATTTATGAGTTATTGACTCCATAGGTATATGATTGATACGATTGATATAGTCAATAAACATTTATCGTTATATTAAATGTGTGATCTTATTGAAAAAGGCCTAGTAAATAATAAATTGTAAACCACGCCATCTTGAAATAATTACGCATAGGTTTAAGTATGCCAATTGTAAATAGTAAACACGTATAACCGAAGAAATATTTGCCTACACAAACTATTGTGTAGGTACATTCTTTTTTGTAATTATTTTAGTATTTTTATTGAATGTATGTAAGGGTTGTGACGATTATCGTTTTCAAGTCAATAAGTAAGTGTTATGTAGGTATATTATAATAAGGACATTATTTTTTAAGTTAAAATAAGTGGAAAAGAATTGTTCTTGCGATGAATGTAATCAATTAAATAGAATTTGATGTTTGAAGCAGCGTAAATTGTATTAGTAGGTAGGTTTATAATGACCGATGTTTGTGGAAGAAATTAAATGTTACATTGATATTATTGATGTAATAAATCGATTAATTGTATATTTGTTTCTTTATTTGTTATCATTTCTTTTCTTTACTACAATTTCATTTATTACCGTTGTTAGTGTTATTAAAAAAGGCAAATAATATTTTGTATAGTAGTTCTTCTAAGTCCGCATATTCGTTATGTCGGTATTGTTTGTACCACACAAGTGGTGATGAGTCGTGGTCACCTTTTTATTTTCACTTTGCTTCGTA